ATCCCCCTCTGTAAATGAGGGATACTAATATTTACCTTAAACCATTGTTTTGAGAATTAAATGGAAAATAGCATGATTAATCAACTGACTATAAGAGACATGGCCTAACAGATAACATGCAGATCATTTTATGCTAGCCATGAAAGTGTTCATGATGGCGGACTTGACTGGCTTTAATGTGTATGATCTGGTGATTTCCGTAGTATTTTAAAAGTATCTATCATTAGTCAAATATAATTTGCCCACAGATTTCCCATGTAGTAAGTAATATTTTGAGATATTAACTAGAGATTTTTTTTCTCCCTCTGCTTCCTTGCACTAGTTACCTTTTACTTATCCTTTAGGCCAGCAGTCCCCAGCCTTTTTGGCACAAGGGACCAGTTTCATGAAAGACAATTTTTCCTGGGTTGGGGGGAGGGAAGAGGGAGAGGAGGAGGAGGCGGAGCTCACCGATGATGAAGCTTCGCTTGCTTTCCCGCCGCTCACCTCCGGCTGTGCGGCCTGGTTCCTAAATTTCATGGAAGACAGTATTTCCACAGATGGGGAGATGGTGGGGGGCGGGGGACAGAGCTCAGGCGGTGATGCGCAGCTTGGTACAGGTCCATGGCCCAGGGGGTTGGGGACCGCAGATTTAGGTAATGGCACCTAGCAGGACAGATACCGCTGAGAATTAAAAAGTGATTTGTTAGCTTTGAGCTTCATATTAGGCTTTTTTAAAAAGTCAGTAGAAACAATATTCTTGACATCATAGCTCTGTGTCCTTTGCAGAAGACCAGGTATTTTGAGAAAGAAAATTTTTGCTGAGCTGTTCAAAGTGCTGAGAACCTTATAAAATTCAGTTTATACCAGAAAGCAGAGAGTGGGAAAGAATGCATGGATAGAATAACAGGTCCTGAAAAATGAAACTTGTCCAGCATACAGAGAAAATTAGGACTAGAAGGACTAGAAGAGGTCTTGAGACTGAACAAGAGACTAGAGAAAACAACTGCAGGTACAGCATAGACAGAACATGATGCTTGCCACCAGTAAGAATGCATTACATCGCTGCAGAGGCCAGCGGGGTCAGAGAATGACACCCGGAACAGAGCTCTGCCCCTGATGACAAAACAATTTACCCACTAAATCATCAGGCTGGAGATGCTTCAAGATTTTTAGTTCTTCTTAATTAATCTGAAAGCCTCTATTACCTGAAATAGTTTTCAAGATTAGAAAGAGCAATTAAAAAAATATTTCTCTTTCAAATAATATTTAACGTCAAAAAATTTTAAAGGCACATGTATTATAAGCAAGGATATTTTAGAAAACTACATTAAAAATTACTTTCACAAATAGGGCACATTACCTTAAGCAGATTACACCTATTTTATTTATATCTTAATTGAAAAAGAAACTTTCAAAAATATAACTCAAGGTGTTACTATGTATAAATATTTTGAATCCCATTATAAAATTAAAGAGTTTAGAAAGCTAGAACTTTTCTTTTATAAGCTATAAATAGAATGATGAAGTATAATTATAAGAAAACCTTTTAAATACTCAGGTTATATCAAAATATATCATCAGCATTTGTTTCAGCTTCGTCTTCAGCTGAGCATAGTGGGTACTCCCCATAATCTGTAGGTTTAACCATTTTCATTTGTAGCTATTTTTCTGAGTCATAGACCAAAGCTGATTGTGTTACAGGATAAACCATTTGAAGTGTTAGCTATAGTGAGCCATGATAAGCCATAATAGAACTATTAACGTTAGACATAATAAGATTATTAATATCAGGTTTTATATCAGCTATACTCTTACCAAATCTCATGCACATAGAAGGTGAGGAGAAAATGGATTTGAAACATCTTTTTGATGTTGTTTGTTTGAAATCACTTAATCTTGTAAGTGAATATTTAAAACCATATATTCAATAATTAATATTTTGGTTTTGTTTCTAAGTATTTGACTCAACAGAGCCATGAAAGGGGGAACTTTATCTCAAAAGGGACAAGAAACATTTGATTTGTTGCCATGACATAGCATTTACCTTCCAATGAGAAAAAAAAATGTTAAGTCTATAATAATTAACACTCTTA